ATTTAGTTGGAGACCTTCCATAAATGGCTGAACACATAACTTTTTAACAGCAGTGAATTGTAAAACACTGGCCTTTGTCCAATCTTCTTGGTAAGACACCAAGAAATACCAGAAGACCATTCCATATGGTAGATTTCCATTACAAGACAAATCAAAATACTGATTCACACAACAATAGCTGAGAGTGGTCAAAATCTGATCTTATAAGAGGTCAGGGGCGAAGTTCACAGGAAGGGCCTTCACAGATCAATAGTTTTGTGTCAGCTGGGAATAAGTCCTGAGAGTTGGGGTCATTTGGAAATTCAAGGGTTAGATTGATGGTGGTGTTGGAGCAAAGGTCATGAGAATCAATTGACCTCATGCTTTAAGGGCAACAATGTTTATGAGATATCTAATAGTGCACCAATGAACGATATAGGCTAGTAACTGTAGATAAACAAATTCAAAGACAGAGCAACTGTGATGAGATGAGTAAAAATTATGTCGCTTCTTATCATTCTAACTAAGAAATCACAAACACAAACTGGTCAAACTCAGCTCTTGATTAAAGACCTTTTTTTGCTGATTTTTTGCTTGAGTATTTGGAGATGCATGATCATGCAACTCCTGTGATAGAAATGCAAAGTTATTGCATATTGCAAAAGCGTCACATAAGTGTCGGGTATCTTTTTTAAATAGCTGGTGTTTCTCAGATAGTTGTGGTGTCGTTCTGATCTATTCGGTTCTCAGTGATAACACACAGTGGGAGAACTTGGATAGATTATGTGTTGCTATTATCCTTTAGATCTAGTATTGATTAATCTGTATTGTTGAGAGATGGTGTTATAATTAAGATGAGCTGAAACAGGGAACATGACTTTGAAAACACTACCATCTTATAGCCACCGTATTTTTTTATGCACACATGTAAATATTGTGCAAGAATCATTGTTTGCATATCTGCATTCATATGTGTGCAATGTTAGTCCAAGTGATGCTTGTTACAGTGTGGATTAAGTATCATCAGTGTGCCTCTCAGTCTGCCTCCATTAGTCTAGATGTGGGGGTGTGACAGTACCAGACCACTAGGATCTATGGTTGGTAAAAATAGACCGTGAAGCAGCTGTAGAGCTCTGATGGCTGGTGCTAACACAATCTGTCTATGGTCACACTCTGGCTCTGCGGTACTGAGGGACTCAGGGAGCCGTGTCCATAAATCACCTTTCGCTTCCAGGGTCAGAAGATCCACAGAAACAAGGGAGCAGTTAGGTGTAGAGTAAATATACACAACCTAGTTAGTATAAGAGATACACTAGTGTCGCTGAACAAGAGATCTGGAGGATGAGGAAGGTGTTATGTCTGCGGTTATAAGGTTCATTTCAGTCTGTGCCTGTGTCCATTTTTTTTCTAAAATATTTGAGCCTGAGCAAAATAAACTTGCCAAAAGAACATTGAAAAGATTTTAGCTGAAACAGCTAACCTAATGTACACTTAAATAGGATGAGCTGTGACTTCAATTTGGACAAATATTTAATCAAATTTGTGGCAGAGTTACCAGTAGAGCATGGGGAGAAAAGCTAAATTAATTTGGATTTAATTGCAGACTTTTTCTTCCTTCAATTATTGGAGTTTTCCCTCAAAAGTTGTTCGTTGCATAATCATTGCATTTCAGCACCTTGAAAATAAGAGACAATAATCAAGCCCATTTTGCACCAGAACTCTTTCAGCAATAGTCCCCATCGGACAAAGGTTATTAGACCATTTTGTCAGATTTTCCTGTAGTGTGCGAAAGAGTGTAGAGCTAGTTATGTCAGTACCTGAGCTTGCCTATGATGCACACTTACCGTTTAAAGATTGTGTAACCACAGCATCCTCTGGGACATGTTTACATGATATTGGTCAACATATAGAACAAAATCACAGGCTTTATGAATATTTTAAACAGGTTGAGTCTCCTCTTGATAATCTGATGATATGAAAGCCCTTTGAATGGTGACATGCTAGTATATCAGTCCCATCTGCAAAGCACCCATAGGCTGTAGGACATTACAGTGTATCCACTTAAGCTGAATGGGTACAGGATTCATGCTTTCATTTTTATATTTTTTCAGTCTTGCTTTGAGGTGGCTTCATATCCTGCATTTTCAAGAATGCATGCAACACCAGTGCAGATAGAGAAACCGATCATGGGAAGGCTTCAAAAAAGACCCAACACAGTTCTTGATAAAACCGTATGCAGCACTTCATGGGGTGAAGAATTCACCCTGCTCCAATTTGGCTCATGTTCTAAACCAACCGTGTTTGCTGTCCTCGCTTAACCTCCCCAGCAAGAAAATTACAATGCATATGATTCAACCGACCCATTGACAGTAACTATAGCAACATGATAGGGCCAAACTTGTGGGCATCCCTAATGCATGAGTCATTCTGATGAAGAATTTATGCCTCTGACTAAACACAGGCAACCACTTTTCACGATAGCAAAAATATCACTTCATCTACAACTGCAAAGTGAAACAAGAACTACATGACAATAAAGAAACAATTCATCAGAACCATATCTACTTTGGAGAAACATGAATCCTCCAATGCTAAAATATTACAGCAGAGCCGAGTTGTACTTGTTCATTCTCACTTAATACCACTCTTTGGACCATTTAAAACAAATAGTCATGTGTGACATGTTATTTTGACCAAGCCATCATCTGGCCACAGTACAGGAAAATAAATTATCTTTCACTGCAATAATTAAATCTTTTAAGTATTTTAAGCAGCCTCAAATCGACACTCGAGGAACTGCACTTCTGCACTGACTTTGCTTATCAACTCTGGAGGTCCAGCAAGGTTCTCCTGGCTGCAAGAACTCAAGTTGTTCTTGGGAAAGTTCAGATTTACATCCGTCCAACCATACATTCATCGACCACAACCAGATCGCTCTAACAGCTGTGACACATATTAAGTCCAAAGTCACCATGTAGCACCAACCTGACATTGATGGAAACAACAAACAATTATGAGTAGAGTCCATCTACCATATTTCATTTACTATATGAATACAACAGACTTATTTTGATAGTATTTGTGAAGAGATAAGTGGTCCATTAACACTTTAATGTGATATTAATGTATTCAATATACAATTCAAATCAATTTTCCATCATTTGGCCAGCTTTTTGGGTCATTACACACATTAAAACACATGCAACACACTCTCATCTGGTAATTGCAAGTATGATCAACATTAATTAGTGGACATATGGCTGGTAAATGACATGACAACTTTCATTTACATCTTTACCCCCATGCAGAAATAAAGGCCCGATTATCTTTGAGGAATTGCACAGAAGTACTGGAAATGAGTTCCTCTTTGCATAGCTCATTAGAATCCTAGTTGATATTGTAGACATTAATTAACTACTGTAATCACAACAAGATGAACAACAAACATCTGCAAGGGGACTTGTGAAATATTTGCACTCCATGATTATGGTAATTTGCTCAGGTAAACAATCACTTTTCCATTTGATTATGGAGATACATGTGAGTCTGGTGTATGATTGGAGCTAATAATCAAACTATCATGCAGCCACAGATGGGGACAGGAAAGCAGGTAGAAGGGCAGGATGAGGATGAGAGAGAGTTAACCAGTACAGGACTTGAATGCAGTTACTTCTTTTAAATCCAACAAGAAGATGTCGACACACTTCCTTTACAACCGCCTACACAAAGCTGATGATTTTAAGGCAGAAAATGACTCAAGCCCTGTCTTTTAGGAGCTCTTAGTCTTTGAAATAACTCAGGAAGAAGTTGGGTAAATATAAAGTCAGTCCACTCATAAATAAATGTTTGCATGGTGGCTAATAAAATGTGAGAAGATAAAAACAACGCAGAAAGACTGAGACAGATAAGAAGGCAAAAAGCCTGGAGGCTGGTTAGGTTCAGAGGTTCAACCAATGCACAGAGGCTTAAGTCCTCAAAGCAGCCAGTCCAGGTTTGACCAATTTCCTAGATTCCTACTCTATCTTCTATTCTATCCCACTTAAAAATGCAGTAACAATAGCTGTACTCAAAGACGTTAAGGTAGGTAACCAAAAGGTGAGCAGTGTAGTTTCATTCAACACAACTAAATCAGAACAAAAATATCAACAGACTGTGTCCTTGTAAAAATAGCCAGAACTGTCAATTCAACTTCACCTTGAACACCTAACAATGTGTTTGTATGTCACTTCAGTTATGGATTTCAACATTGGACTTGCACTCAAGTCTGGCTTCTTCAAGTGGAAGGAGAGGATGGAAGCCATAATGGAACTGGGTTTGACCTCCATTTCCACATATTAATATTTCATTCCAGTTCTACTAGACTATTTTGCAATATTCTGTTTACTAAACCATTAAATAGAGATTACAACACTTAATTTTGTTTTATTTGCAAAGCCATAAAGTTCAGCTTTGCTATGGTCCCACCCTAGTATCCATTGGACTTATTATATTAGCAGAAGAAACCAATTCAACTGTTTCATATAATATTTGGAACCAAACTTTGAATCTTTTTCAGCAAGTAGTCTACAGGATAAAACCACAACCCCCTCTGAGCAATATCTCGAATGTCCTCTGACCACAGTGGTGGACCAACCAATGCAGAACAGCTGAGCAGCATGAACACATTAATTATCGGTTTCCTCCCGTTGTTTTACAATACCAGCCTTCCATTGTGTAAACTCACCAAGCAGTCCGGCCTCCACAATAACAAATGACAGCTCATCACATCAGTGAGTCACCATCCCCAGCAGAGCTTCTAATGGTTTGATTCAGTCCCTACAGTACACACAAACACAAACACACACACACGTAAATGACAGTAACACACCTCACTTCAGTCACAGAAAAGAAAATGTAAGATCCTTACACCTTTGAGACTAGCAGCAGCTGCATATTGACAGGAGGGCATGATGTATAAAAACATGAAATGAAAGGGAGAAAAAAAAACACTCAGAGGTTAAGTACTGAGGTGTGGGAGGTCCGGGATTTGGGGATCAGGGACGGAGGTAACACACAGACGACTTTAAAGCGAGTCAAAGAGGATGAGACTGAGGATTTGCGTGTGAAAAAGAAGACTGCAAAAGATGAAAAAAAAGTGAGGGGGTTGAGAGAGAGAGAAGCGCGGGGGTGTGAGATGATGGATAGGTAGACGGGGCGGACGCGTGGGGGTGATATGACAGATACCTCGTGAGTAACTGCGGGCCGGGGGCAAGATAGCTCATGCTAGAATTACACAGGAGGGCTCTAAAGTGAGAGTGTGTGCGAGAGAGGGAAAGTGCATTTCAGAGGTACTAGAATATACTATATTTATAGGTGTGTGTGTGAACATGTATGTGTGCTGTGGGGCTCTATATGTGGAGTTTATGAGAGAAGGAGGGAGCATATGATAGAAAGAAAAAGAGAGATGAAGAGAAAATGACAAAGAAAGACACAAAAAAGACAAAGAAAGAACTGAATGAAAAAGTACACAAGAAAAGAAAAAAATCAAAAAAACACCAGGGGTGTTGGGTCAGAGAGTAAAGGGATGGAGAGGAAGATGGAAGAGAGGAAAATGAGAAGAAAAGTGGGTAGAGAAAGTCTTAAAGAAAAGATAAGAAGACAATAAAAGAGGGAAAAAGGACAAAAAGGCAAAAGAAAGTGAGAAACGGGTGAAAAGAAAGAAAGAAAGAAAGAAAGAAAGAAAGAAAGAAAGAAAGAAAGAAAGAAAGAAGGAGAGATGTGGATGGGGAAGCAAAAGGGAAAGAGAGTCAGAGGGGGAATGGGAGAAGGACTGAGAGTGTAAGGACAAAGAAAAACACACAAGAGAGGAAGGGGGAAAGTTGCAGAAGAGAAGTGAGAGAGTCCTGACAGAAAGACAATATGGCTGAGAAAAAAAGATGAAGAAGAAGAAAAGGAAGTCAAAGGGGGGAGGCTAAAGTAACTGCAAACAGATAACGAGGTATCCCGAGGTGAGCTGTGAAGAGGGGAGCCGATCAGATCAGAAAGAGAGAGAGTTAAGCTCTTGCTGACAGATAATGATGTATTGGCACAACTGGCTTGTAGGTGAGATTCTCAGCACCTTTGCTACAGCGACTAATCCTGCAACACAGTCAGACACACCGGGTCATCATACTACATCACCAGACAAGAAGGTAGAGGCAGGAGGCAGGAAAGGACAGCAGGAAATCACACAGATGAAAGGAGAAGACATGGGGCGTGGCAGGGATGCAGCTCAGCTGAATGAAAAAGAAGACGGTGTAAAAGTCAGAGAGGTGAAAGAAAGGAGAGTGGTTAAGTGAGAGAGATGGCATGGTGGAAGGGGGAGGGGACTCATTTCATTTCAGCATCCACTTCTGCAAATTCGAAGTATCCTCTGTGATAGATGTTGTTCAACCTCCCACTTAAAGCCCGACGTGCAAATTGAGGAGCATCTGCTTTATCAGATTCTTGGCCCACATCCACATTGTATTCGTATGTCAGTCAAACAATGAGAAGCTCGGGATTTCAGTCAAACCAAAGTTCAGCCAGGTCAGTTGGACCTTCGTTAGGAGGCGAGACAACTTTAAAAGGAAGAAAGGAGTGAGGCCAGGAATCCAGACAAGTGAGGAGATAGGGGAGGAAGAAAGCAAAAGAGCTTGAAAGAAACAAGAGGTGAGGCAGAGGGAAGAGTAGTGATTGATAGGTCACTTAGGAAAGAGTCAGCTACAGGAGAAAGTACTGAGAAGATAGAGAGGGAATGAACTGAAAATGAGATGTTAGCGTGTCCCTTCTTTGAACAAAGATATGATTGGGTCTAATATCCCGAATTCTGCAAGCAAAAGGTCTGAATCAGTCCACGGAGCCAGCAACTGATGTAAGACAATATCAGTGCCTCGCTCACCCAAATCAGTCATATAAATACAAGTTAAACCAAGTTGAAACTTTGAACCCTTCCAGAAAGATAGCTGTGAATGAAAATGGACAGTTTTTCTGCAAGAAGTAGGAAAGCAAAGCCAAATTACCCCTCAGAAATGGAGCTGTGGCCATAAAGTGGTTGGTGCCTGTTATGGCACTAATACCCAAACCCGTTGGCGTGTGAGAGATGCCGTCAACCTGGAGAAAGAGTCCTAACTGACCTTTGTGGTCTGTGGGACTCCAGAGGCAGCTGAAAGATTCTAGCAGGCCAAGTGGAATGCTGAGACAAAAATCCATGTGTGGTAGTAGTTAGGTGAGACCATGAAGAACAGCTTTCAGGCAGCTTCGAAGAGGTTCTGGACCACTATCATGCGTCTCAGGAGGGGAAACCAGGGTGGTGTTCCCCCTTTTTGAGAACATGTCTCCATACTCAGATATGTGTGACTCCTAATGACTCCCCAAGTCAAGTTTGTTTGGTCAGTGTGAAGCCAAAAATCTTGGGCACGTTCTGTCAGTGTCAGGTACCGTCTCCATTAAACAGCGCGTATCATCGCCCAGTGGAAATGTGTTTGTGTGAGTGTGAGTAGCAGCAGCGTAGTGCAGCCCTGGACAGCTGGGCTCACAGAGAACAACATACCCCAAACAGGCTACTTTGCCTCTCTGTGTTCAACTTCCTGCTAACTTGGAAATTATTCTGTGACTGTTAAATCTCTACTGTATGCGAACAAACAACTTCAGACAGCGTTAGCAGCTAAAAGTCCCGCTGAGGTTATTTTGGAAAATACCGGATGACATGCGCCTCTCCAGTGCATGGCATCCTGTCTAGGACAATCTACTCTGTGCAGATTGACGTGTGCTAGTCACATGCTCTGTGGAAAATAGACTGTATCTTTAGTGGAGCGGCGCGTAGAGGCACTTCTGAGATGCGGCTGAGACATGTACAACACGTCCCATGCGCCTGTATTGATTAGAATGGGAATGTATTTTCTGACAGAATGGGACTAACACACACACACACACACACACACACACACACACACACACACACACACACAGTGGGTGTTAAGCTTGAGTAACACAGTACACTTCCTCAGCTCAGGCAGAGTTTCAAGAGGTGGACTTGTGTACGGTACGGTTGCTAATGCATGCACGCACTCAAGCACGGCACCGTGAAGCACCTGACACTTTCACCCAAATACCACACATCACATCAACACAGTGGTTCAGAAAAATGTGTCTGAAATATATTGATGTATGTTGTTAGTTTATACTGCTGGTATTGAGTTGTTGATCACTGAATTGGTATCTTGATTCATGATCATGGACTGTCACCGTACTAAAAATGAAACCATCTCTTCTTCTCCGTTTTATTCAGCTTAGAGAGAATCTGTTCAGCTCTGTATCAACAGTGTTGATTAAAAAAAACAGCCGGTTTGATATGAGGATTAACATCCATGCTTTACACACAGTATAATAGGCTCCACGGTGCTTAGGCGCAAAGTAAAGAGAGCGGAGTGCAGATAAACACACACTGCACCACACATGAACACAATCCCACACAGTCACACACTGCTATAATCGGATGTTTCCTTCTATATTAGGCTTTATCGAGACTTTTAGCCCCACAACCCACATGTCAGCAACATGCAAACACACTTACACACATACGAGAGCATACACAGATACACAGAGCATTTCAAATTGTGTAACACACTGGTTTTATGTAAGTGTGTCACACACCCACTCCCTGGGAGTTGACAGTTTGCAGAGCACTGAGGTAGAAAAGAGGGAGAGAGAGATGGAGAGAGAGAGAGAGAGAGAGAGAGAGAGAGAAAAGGACAAACAAGAGATAGAGGAATGAATGGAAACTGAAAGAAGGAGGTACAAAGAAGGGAAGATGGAGCAATGAAGTGAAGCAGAGCACATTCATCAGGGCTGTTTCAACTGTTTGCAGCCGCTGACTACAGTATATATGTTTTAATGTCTCGTCTAATCTACAAGCTGTTACCCTGGTTTACAGACACAAAGTTTATAAGCCGTCATTTTAGTCACTAACTGAATATAATGCCAGACATAAGCTAGCGTTGATTTATTTTAGTACACATCATGATCACTTCTGTCTAAACTTCTGTTAAGACCTCAGAAATAATGTTAATATCCCTAAAGAAACATTAGAGCATCATTATCTTTTGAAATGGGGTTAGACTGATACAAGTAATCACTTTCTGTTATAGATGGCTGTCAGTTATTGACTGCAGAGTTGTCTACCATTGCAATGCTGTGATTTAGAATAGTTTCATTTGCATTCCACCTATTTCATGCCGCTCTTCTGTATGAGTCAAAATGAGTCTTTTAGTCTATCAGTGACTGGTTTAATTGATCATTTGTTTTGTGAAAACTAAGATTTCCACAGGAACTCTTTCAGCGTATACACTGCTCTCCTGAATTCATCAAAACTGTCTGGGTGGGGTTTTAAGCATGAACGCAAATGCAACAATATGTCAATCCAGACTTTGTGCCGACTCTGCAACAGCTTTGAGGAGACACCGTCCTGCCAGCACTCTGCTGAAAAGTCTGTGCAAAGTCAGGATTTCAAGTATCTTGGAGTCAAGAGCGAGGGCTGATATTCGACATCAAGCAGATTACCTTTATCTACCTGGATGGACTACTGTGTGAGGAGCATTAATGTTGAGAGGAGTTTTACTCTTTCCCATTATTTACTACTCCTCTTATAGACTTGCCTATTGCTTTTTACTACTGCATTTACACAGCTGAAACACCAACATGTTGTAGCGACTCCCCCTCCTGCACACTCTAGAGTTGGCATCATTTTATTTGAAGTAGTGGTAATGCATTTGCCACCATCAACCTTAAGCAGTAGGGTGCATAAGTGATGGACTTTTCTGGAAAATTTTAAGACCTAAGAAGAACGGTAGAGAGGGGACCTAAATAGAAAAATACTAGCACAGCATTAGAGCCTGTTTACACTTGGCAGAGTTTTTCTGCGCTGGCAGAACCAAATCACTTTTCCAAGCTAATGTAATTCACTGTTTTTATCACTATGCATCCTCAGTGACTTAAAGACCCACTCTGATGAAAACCATGTTTTTCTTGTTCTTATATGTTCATTTGGCATTTTTCTGATGCTACAGGACATATCATGAGAAAACTAAGTATTTCTTCATTCAAATCGCTGTGAATATCTGGCAGACCCAAACAGCAGGTTTAGAAACAGTGAGATGTCATATGTAACCAAGCCAAGCTCCGCCCCCGGAGCTCCGCTATGCAGGCCACACTCTGCATATAGAGCAGAAATACAGAGGACGCTCGCGGAACAAGTGTGTGCATTAGCAGATTGCAATGGTCGTAAGAAAGCTAATTATGATATTAGCTTTCATCATGCTCTGCAGAAGAAAAGTCCTTGAAAATGACACAGGTAATGCAATTTTAGGTAAAAACTTCTTAATCACAATTTGAAAACACTCCCTTGTTGTTGTTGCGTCATCATCATCAGCCTTCTAAACTGAAAATTGTTCAACTTTTGCTTCACTCATACACCGTCAAAGTAGAAGAAAGACAGGACTTCTACTTCAAGACCCTAAGTACTGCTACTGCCAGGATACCTTGCCATTAATGTTGTTGTTGTTGGTCTTGACTGCCCTTGAATAAAAACACATGTTCAGCATACAGAACAGATTTAACAGACTAAGTGGTTTAGGCAGTGGAAAGTGCCATGAAACAACACCTATATCCTCACAACATTGAGTCGTCGATATCACTCTGGAGTTGAGGTCGTAGGTAAAAGCCGGTGAAAAATGAAAGCTGTTGATGGACATGGGCATTTATGCTGTGGTAGTCCATAATGGACATTTATCAAGTCTTAGTGTGCAGCGTTTGATTTCCCTCATCTACATTTCACTTTGCAGAGCTGGTTGAACTAGAAGCTTAACTCATAACTACAATTTATTTTACAATTTAGTTGTCCCATTTTTCTAACCTAACTTCTGCTATAAATTCAACCAAGGACTCCAGTAAGGTGGTGGCTGGGTTTTATTGCATCAAAGTGGAAGGGCTGCCTATTGTAATGCAGCTAATTCTCCATGCTGCTACATATGTATGGGAAATATCCCCCAGTGTCATCCACCCACTGCAACACGGAAAACAAAATAAATGAATGTATCAGGCTGTGAGTGATCCGTCTAACACCAACAGGCATATTTAAATGCTCTCCTCCGGTTTGATGGAGCAGAAAATGTGAGGCGATTGCATCATCCATTTCCCACCAAGCAGGGTGTTTCGTTTCCTTCCATCTGCTGCAATATGTGATGTTCTACCATCTATCACCACAGATTCTCATTTAGTCAGGAAGCCTCTGATCAAGCTGTGCCACAATGTGCCTAGAAAAGACGTTTAAGATAACACAACATGTGTAAACAATTACCAAACATGCTCTGCGCCTGAGTCTTATCTCCCTGACTGAGTGGGAATTCAAAACGAGGGCTTTTCATGCTGTAGCTAAACATCATGTCCCGGCTCTTCGAGCTGTTATCTCACAGAGCGGGTCAGAAGTCAGGAGCAGGGAAGAGGAGAAGCCTAGCTGTAGAAAGTCAGACAGTCGAGGAAACATTTATTTAATGAGTGATTAAACCTTTGATCCTCCAGAAAACAAGATTTTTTTTGCCGTCTTTCTGTAAAAATCTTCTACATATAAAGAGTGTTTTCTGACTGTTTCTCTAACCTCAATGAGCAAAACCATTCTTATTTTATAGATGCAAATCCAGTTTGGTCTGCTACAAATGTTTTTGCTTTCAAGTAGCAGTGATTTTTGTAGTCCCGTGCTTTCAAAATGCCTTTAATCAGCAAATTCATGGATTCATGCTTAACAATTTATTCAATATACAGAAGAAGAAGCCTTGCTGTAGGAAAAGCAGCTTAGAAAGTCAGACAGTCGAGGAAACGTTTATTTAATGAGTGATGAAACCTTTGATCTTCCAGAAAACAAGAATTTTTTTGGCATCTTTCTGTAAAAATCTCCTACATATAATTAGTGTTTTCTGACTGCTTCTCTAACCTCAGTGAACAAAACCACTTATTTTATAAATGCGAATCCAGTTTTGTCTGCTACAAATGTTTTTGCTCTCAAGAAGCAGTGATTTTTGTAGTCCCATGCTTTCAAAGAGCCTTTAATCAGCAAATTCATGGATTCATGCTTAACAATTTATTCAGTACACAGAGCATATCTGGCCTGTGCTCTTTGTAATACGACACTCAGAAAATTGACATGAAACTAGTCTGAACAAAGAAAAGAAAAAAAACTCGAGCAGAACCAGACCCACTGGTAGACTGCCATCCTCTGCAAACAGATGAGAATTTCATAGAGGTAGAGACAGATATCTGTCTGTCATTGGACGGGTAGTAGATGCTGATGATTGTGAAGATGTTAATAATAATAATCAGGTATTGTGTGACAGAAACAGAGAAAGAGCTCAAGCATGAAGCTGCAGCACAGTCTTGATTTAAAGTGGTTGTGAGTGCAGGTGGTTGAGAAACACAAACAATGACAGAAGATAAGCACTGCCTTCAAATTACAACCAGAACTGTTTCGGTCAATACTGGGATGATGATTATATAACACGATAACTGAGCTATCTTGGCTGGAGCTCAAATAAACATGCCACTGCCTGGTTCAGAGTGATGCTGCATTCACATGGACTGAAGCAGCAAACCAGGTCTTATTCTGGTGGATGAGAGCCGGATTGGGAGATGTAGACAGTCATGCTGTTAAAAGTCAAAGCATACAATCAGCAAAAGGGGGAAATTTAGGAGGATGAAGCCAGAGACAGAGGCTAATCTAAAGTGCAACTCAATATTTCCCTTTCAGTAAAGAAAAGTATAAGCAAGATGATAAATCTTCTTCGTATTCACCTGTTTGCCTCAGACTTGCTGTCGATCACTGACAGTGAAAACAGACGGATGCACGTGCTCACACTTCCAAAGAGGAGTGACATAAAAGACATCAGGCATCTTATATATTGCTCATGTAAGAGCTTGAGCGTTTCCAGCTAAATGGAAATGCTGCACCGTCATTAAAGAGCGCAACATGTTCACCTGCCCTCCTTCAAAGCCCTCCTCTCCTCACATCACTTCTCTTATTCCAGTGTTTTTCCATTTTTCTCTTTGCTTTTCATTTTCTCTGTTCCTTTTCACCTTTATTGCTCTGTGAAGCTGCAGCACAATGGCTCCTCAATCTGCTTTCAATTTCGGTCTCTCGCCTTTCATTTCATTTACTGCCTTTCCTGTCTTTTATTTTCCTTCTATTATTTGGATAGGTTTATCCTTTATCTTTTTTTTTTTTTTTTTTTTTGGCTCTTCTCCTTTCAATGACAGTCTCTCTGTGATTTTCACATTTTGAAGTATTTTTTCTTGTCTTTTGAGGCCAGTCCATTGTTAAGTGTCTAATGTTTCTCATTCATTCAGAAGAGCTCCAAAACCTGTATTTGTGAGCTGTATCTGAATCCACTGTTTATATGGGAGCAAAGTCAAATAGTCCGATCATG